TTAATTTGTAACTCTTTTTTTTTTTTTGGTCCTGCATTACTAAATCCTCCACATTTAATTGAAACCCTACTTCAAGACGCTTTGTGTTTCTGTGTTCTTTGTTGTCAGTTTAACCTCCGAAGCACTTTAACACTGGTAAATTGCTGTTATATCCTTTGGATTGTTTTTAAACCATTCAGTAAGAGGACAGTGAAATTGATACATGGGAAGAAAAGTAAAATCTTAGGGTAGATGTTGAGGTATTTAATATTTATTATGGTTCTTCACCAGCATAGTTTCAGATGATTTAAACGCTCCCTAGGACTGTGTAAATTGGTCTAGGGATGAAATCTCATCTGGGGAATTTTATGTAATCCAGTAGTTAAGTCTGATTTTTAAAGTTTCCCTGTATCTGAATGTTCTACAGTGAGACTGCTGAATTTCTATGAAATGAATACAAAACCCTTCGATGGAAATTTAATTGTATAAAACGTGCATAGGGTAATTAAGGGCAAATTTTAGAACAGTTCAGACTATGAAGTCCTCCTTTGCTAGATCACTGGCTATATTGAAAAAAACTTGTCTTCAACTTGCAATTATGCCAAAAAATATGTCTAAACAATAAAAAGATCCGGTCAATATAACTATTGATTTAAAACTGTTCCTACAAAATCCTACAAAATTGTTGGTATTCTAAGTAGGAGATTTGATCACCAAAAACATATTCTGAATTTCTGTCCTACCTGCTTGCTTTCTGGCTACAATGTTTTCTTTATCACTTATGCTTAGTGATACTAAGTATTTTTATTAGCAACAGAAGCCATTTTTGTTACTTTGTAAATAACTATCTTCTACCTTAACTATTTGTTAAAATACAAAGATTTCTATCATACATATTTGTTACATATTTGGCAGTTGGTATGATCACACATATTTAAGTACTTAAATTGATTACTTAAATTATGAAATCCAATATATTCAAATGCTGCTAACTCTGGAGCATTTTGTAGATTAAGATTGGACAAATCAAATACCAATAAAATGACACCAAGGAACAGTGCTAGTTTTATAGTGAAATGTTAGTGGTTTGCTGTTATTTAAGTGTATTCCCAACTGGTAAATGTTTTTAGAACATTCCTTTTCTGCCTTTTACTTAGTATATCTCCCCCAACGAGCAGAATATTTAGCAGTTTGTTGAATCTTAAGTACTTGGAATTAAAATGCACTTTTTTTATTTAATATTAAATAGAGTCTTCTCCCTCCCCCATCTCTATCTCCCCCCCAAAAAAAAAAATAAATAAAGCTTTCCCAAATCTTTCGCATTGTGAGCAGTACCCCTCTGGGAAATGAAAAAGGATGTGAGAGTCAGTTGATGAATTGCTGGCGCTTATGTGTGTCCACATTTTTCAGTGTGTTCCCTTCCCTCCCCCCCCCCCACTGGATTTAAACTGCCCACATTTGAATGCTTCTTTTGTAAAGATGATAAAGAGAGTAAAGATTTCTATTGGCTTAGCCCTAATCTGTTTGCTTTGTTGTGATTCTTTTTTTCTTCTTTATTTTAACTGTTAACCTATTTATAAATCTAAATCTACATACAAAGGTCATTGGTTGGCTGAACTTAAACCATTTTACTCAGTAAATTTAATTAAGAAAATACAGTGCAACTCATAAGCAAATGAGTTTTTTCCTAGTTTTAAACCAAACCACCCTCTTGAGTGCTGATTGCCTTGCCCGACCCCTGGTGATACAGAAACAGGCAAAATTAAAAAGGACATTAAAGCTTCATTAAATCTGAAACACATTTAGTACAGTGACATATCTGCAGGCCATTTCAGAGAAGATTACATACTCTCTTTTGTAAGTTTCCTAATTTATAATACCTTGACAATAAAAACTAGGGAAATGCAAGTAGATTAATAGACCAGTAGGGGTAAAAGATACAGAATGGCCCCAGGTTTGTCTGTCTGAAATATTCACTCGTAGCATATGTGTTCCCTCTTCCCCATAAGGGTTCAGTGTTTATTTTGATTTTTGACAGCCTCATGAAGAACTTGTTCTTCATGCAGTCATGTCTGCTAAGAGCCCTTTTCCTTTTTTACCTTCTCCTAATTGAACTTGATAAAAAGGTTCTAGGGCCTGCCTGTATATTTCCTTCTGTTTTGCCACAAGACAAGTAGTGTGGAACATAAACACTGCCGCTGCATTAAATCCAGAAGGACGGGGACATACATGGAAGGCAGCTCCCTCTCCCGGGGCTATAAAATGCTTGCTCTTGGTGCCAGCCTAATAGCACCACTGCCAGTTTTTACTGGTGCAGAATTAGAATCCTGACCTGCTTCTGGAGCAGCCCACTGGTGACACTCTGTGAGAGGAAATGACTCTGATCATGGGCGAGAAAACTTTCTTTGTCCTCTGACTCGAAAAAAAGTGAGATCTGCACCATGTCTTAAAAGCAGTTCTCCCAGGAATGTAGTTGACAGGTAAGACAGATTCCACAGGATGTCTGGAAAGTACAAGCACAACCAGTCCCAAGGATGAGTTCATCAATGCAAACACTGCCACCTATTCTCAAGCAGATACCAGCATGTCCTGGGCATTTTCTCTGTTCTCTTGCTTGTTGCTGTCCAACAGAGCAAATGAATGGGCCATCCTTTGACTTTACTCCACTTATCTCAGAGGGAGCTAACGTGGTAAGTTTCTATTCCCAAACTGACTATACTCTCTCCAGTGATAATATGAGAATTTGAGACTTTGTGTTGAGTGTGCAGAATTCACACTTCCCCTCTTATCCCACTCTTTAAAAAAAAAAAAAAACTTCCATTAACATTGCTTGGTTCTTTATAAGAAACCATGGTCATTGTTGGCACCTGCCAGGTAGTTTAGATCTTAATTGTATGTATGGTGGGCAAATTTCTTCAGCTGGTAAGATATGGGGACAAAATTCTTTCAAAATTATGACATGTTGAGCATCTAACCTAGTGAGTGGCACAGTGCCTATAGACGGGCTTGAGATAAATGTTCTAAATGTTGTCTGGTAGTCATTAAGCTGATTGCTTTTTTAGATCAAAGACACTCATTCCTGTAGTTTTCTTCAAATGGGAAGAATATGCAGAACTCATAATGATAGGTTTTAGTGAGCTGGCAACAGGTCACCTGCCTGTTAGTTCAGTACAGAATAGTGCAAATGCCCAGTCTCCCCACTGCTGCCATGGTAAGCCACAGTATTTCTGAATCTATGCGCACACTCTCATGGGCTAAAAATACACTGTATTTACAAAACATAAGGCAAACAGATGGCCTATCTTGGGTGAAGGAGTGGGCAATGGAGACCTGAATTCCTCCTTCCTAATAGCGGTATAATAACAAGCATAATCATACAAAACTGAGAAAAGGGTTTGGTTAATATCCCTACATAGTCTCCTTCACCACATCTTACAGTGTTTTTGCTGTTTATGCTTTAAGGATTAATGATCTTATTATTATTTCACTAAATGAAATAATGATATAATTTTATAGTAATGAAGGTCAAACTGGGTATAGAAGAAATGAATACAGAGCCAGGTGATCCAAAACTCATTCATATATGTATATGAACATACACACACATATGAGCACTGGTCTTTTGAAAGTAGTCACCTTATATGGGTTACTGTTGCTCAGACTGGCTTTAGTACTTTGAAACTGAACTTCAGTATTTTCATGTGTACCCTTAGTAAGAAACAAAATAAGTGTTCTTTGAAAATGACTTTAGGTTTTGGGAGTAACCAGACATCATTCAAACCTTAGTCAATAACTAAATTATGTGATCAAAAGCTGAGGAGTATAATTTGAGTCCAAGATAAGATACAATTCTAATAAAATGAAACAGATGTTTTTCTGTTGCTTGAAATGATTGTAAACACAATTCCAAAGAGGAGTTCAAAAAAGAGCAGTGTCGCGTTGGAATAAACACAATTTCTGAAGATCTAAAACAGCAGTGTAATGCTCTGGATTAAGTTTCAGGTCTTGGGGTGTTCTCTAGGCAGGTGTTGGGGCCAGTATTTAGGGTTCTACTGACTAACTGTATGGGAACTTCTTCACTGGGGTGCTGGTTGTCCAGCTGTAAAGTGGGTTGGTACACTCTTGGACCCATTCCTGCCTCACAGTTCCCCAGTGTAACAATTACACTTTGAAAGTAGTGACAAGTGTAATAGGAGGCTTCAAGCCTGGAGATGGGCCACATTATGAGTTACTATATCTTGGCACTCTTTTCTTTAAATGTGCTACTGTGTGTTTGGTAAATATCACCTTATTCTTTTCTGTCAACCCTATCCCTGGTTGAGAATTAAAAGACTAAATTTAAGTGACTAGAAACACATAGCTATTTACATTTATCCAAATCAGAAACACTTCAGGATTCACTTTCTCAAGTTCAGGATTAGTACTGTAGTTTTTACTTCCCTGTCTTGAAATGGCCATTTTCCCACTAGTAGTAGCTCTTTCCTTCTAGTTACAGATGAAAGAATGAATGAAAAAATTTAATAAATAGATGAGAATAATGGCAAAATTACCTACATCATATGCCCTGCTCCCCATTTCCAGGAACCCTTCCTCTATACATTATAACTGAAAACTCAACAAAACTGAGGGCTAGAAACAATTAGATGTTCCCATTTTAACATGAAGGAAAACCAAGTCTCCTGTAGTTAATTTTATGTCTGTGTCTAGGAGAAACTGTCACATATGTGTAAATGTGAATAATGTCCACAGAGCTGGGAATATTCCTAAAAGAAACTATATAAGGTTAATGTTTGGTTGTTAAAATTAAAATATTTTATCAGGGATACAACAGTGTTCACTGAAAATGTCCATTCTAAATACAACTGTTACTGTAATTACAGCAATAATTTACTTGGTGTATTCGAGGTTGTGAGCTTTTTATATTTGCTGGATACAGTTCTGAAATTTAGTAGTTGTCTGTCTTAAGGAGATATGCCCTGCATGCAAATCTATAACTAGACAAATATTATTTCCTTTCCCAGCTTGCTCTTGGGAGGTTTCCATATCCTCAGGTAAGATTGTTCATTACTGCCGTTTGCCACTGTGACATTCATTCCTATGTATGAAGGTGCAGGGAGCAATTGTGAACAGTTGAGCCACATACAAATAAATCTGTCCTGTTAAATTGAAAAGTGATATCTTAAAGGAGTCATTTAGAAGTCTCTATTGATTTTTGATTTTTTTAAAACTCCAGATTCCCCACCTCTTTGTTGAAGGTTGAAAGCCATCATCAGGCTCTTCCTTTGTGTGCCTCTGGTGACGCTTTTCCCAACCCTCGCCCTGTCCCATGTGTTCATACCGAGGTTGGAGGAAAAGCACAGCCTTTTTCTGACACACTATTTAAGCTTTGGGATTCCATTAAAATTATTTGAATTAAGGAATTGAAGTGAAAGGTGAAAATCTAGGCCACATATTTTCGGCAAAGCAAACACACGGGCCCCCACTTAGATGTGAGTATGATTTTGGACAGACTCCTTTTTAAAATGTTTGCCTCTTCTTTTCCACATTTCTAAAAAAGCAATCTATTATAATGCTATTGCTGACTATCACCCTTACAGTTTCTTTAAGATTTTTATTATAGAAGGTGCTAGCTTTTAAAATATAAAGCAACTTTGTGATTTGAAAATGATTCCCCAGTGTGTGGGGGGGAAATGAGTGAAATGTCTAAAGGGATGAAAAATGAACGGTTTGACTGTTTTCCTCTGGTTGATGCTCACTGTTTTTCTGGCATCTTGGTCTGTACAGGCCAAAGTGCCTGGAGGCATGTCTGATTTAAAGGTGGTGTTGGTCTCTGCTCTTTAAGCATCTATTAACTTGCTATTATTATGCAAATAAGTGTTGTATTACACACACTAATTTATGCATGGTTAGATTATGCAGATGCATCACAAACATGGTTATTGAATAATAGGATAGGGCTCATTCTCCCTACCATCTTCATAAGCGGTTTTAAGCAAATTCTCCTGGTACCTGCCTACATGGACATTTAAAGACCCTTCCCGCACTAAAATGTCTCTTGTATTCTGTTCTTTCACAGTTAAAGTCATCAGATAAGGGGGAGAGAAATCATCCAAATTGTTGGGTTCAAGAGTGCTAGTCTCTTTTCAAATTTGTAGCCTTCTTTGTTTAAACATAATCTTTTCCTTAAAGAGAAAATCTTGAAGGATTTTTGTGTGACCCTGGTGATGGTTTTCCCAACTGTTTGGCATGCATGCTGGCTAGCATTCAGTACAGTTTTAGTGTCTTCAGCCTTGCTGCTTAGCTCTAGGTAGCCCATCAAATTAAAATCACATTTTCAGGATTTATAGCTCATTAGAATATTTATCTTGGTAAGCTTCTTGTTCTGTCAGTAATTTTTAAACAATTCACTGTTTGGTCAATTTATTTAATCCCCTAAAATGTTGAAAATTAACAGAAGTGGTACTGGTTAGTATATCCCTCAAATGAGTCTTAGTAGAAAACTTGTAAGTCATCTAACAAAAATGCCAAAGATTGAGAATGTAGCTGTATCCTTAAGATTCCTAATATAGAGTAATTAATCAGTGAGGTTTAGAAAAGTGAGAAGTCAAAAAAAAAATGGATTGCCATTGCATTTGACAAATGAAGCATGAGAAGGTTTTGGTTGAATTTGGGAAGAGGCTGTTTACCTTTGCAGTTTGGTTTTCTTAGTTGTTGAAGTTACTTAATCAAAATTCTAACGGGCTGAACTTCCTAGTTAGCAATAACCTTTATGCCAGAGTTGGGGGGATGGTTCAGGTTGGAGGGGTTGCTATAGTGCTGTATTCTTGAATCATGTTAGACTATTATCACCCAGGTAGGACTTTCATTTCAAATAATTGAAGCAGCTTTGATACCATCACATCTGTTTCCCAGATCTTTCAGCAGAAGTTTGTGTGCTGATTGCTTAGAATCAATAATGATTTTTGGTAAAGTTGGCATTTGTTTTTTAGATTCTATTATCATGCCAAAGGATACTTATAAATTTCTTCCCTGCCTGTCCCTTTTGCCCTCAAACAATGCACTTGAAGAACAATGTTTACTTCCACACTATCACAGAGACTGGATTATTATAAATTAATACCTTCTCTCTATCCCATAGCATCTCATTTGAACCCCCAACTAAGTGAGATAGTCTCCCCTATAAATTGGGCTAACAGAATGACTAATTTGCTGACTGTTATATCATGGCTAGTTTGGTTGCACTGAATCCCAAGTAGACAGGAGTAAATCATAGATTCTCAGGATTGGAAGGGATCTTAGACATCATTGGAACAAATCTGCTTTAGTTCTACTCATTAATTTCTAAAGTAGTCATAGGATCAAAGCAACGTTCTTGAGCAGAAGACCATCTCATCCTAATTGTCATCCATTAGTCTGATTCTTGAACACATGAAAGCTTTTTATATACCCTTAAGATTACATAGTTTTGAAGCTCTTCTGTACCCAGAGCTGAGGACAGTGCCAGGGTTTTACTTCTCCGAACTCAAAGTCGTATCACCAAATCTGAGCTCTCTTCCCTAGTGGTGAGCTGAAACCAGAAGATTAGAATTCAAATCAGCTCTACCATAAACTCTCTGTTTACTGCAGACCTTACATCTTGCTTTATATCTCCTGAGGCCTCAGTTTCCTCATCTTTTGTGAGAATCCTGGTACATCCCTTTCCTGTATGATGTGATCATGCAGATCAAATGAGATCGCAGATATAACAATTGGTAACATACAAAGGGCCACCTCACTGGCCCTGACTTAGACCCAAAATCCTGTTTGGTTCAGTATAAAATTTTTCATTGTCAACCAAGGTTTACAAAAGGCTGTGTTCAGTGACTTGCCAGCTGCAAGTAGCACAGAGGAGAGCCCAGTTCAAGACTCAGCTGTCCCCAGCCCACATCAGTGCTGCTGACAGCATCGTTAGCAGCACCTCTTCCTGTTGGCGACACAGTGTATGTCTGGTGGGGATGCAGATGAGGGAGGGCTGTTGGGAAGGTCTTAGGGCGAGTCGGCGGCCTGCGACCAATGTAAAAGTTAAAAGAAGTGGGCTTTTGTTCAGATAATCATTCAAGGAGAATTTTATTCTGTTGTGGGCTGGGTTGCTTTGCCAACCCAAATTTACCCCCAAATTTCATTGACTTGCCAACTCGTTACATAGCTGTCTCATTCTGGAAGTTCAACTTCAGTGTTGGGTTTTCAATCAGAATTTGAAAACACTACCTGTTTTGGTTTCCTTTGGACTTTAAAGGTGCATATCCTTATTGACAGGCGGTTTAGGACTTGGGGGAAAAAAAATGGTTTGGAGCCACTATCAATGCAATCTTATTATTACAGCTTATAGCCAGAAGAACAGCAATTTCTTGGATTCATCCTGCTACCTTCCTGCCTGCTACCTTCCTGATTGAGAGCTCCACAATGCTGTTATATGACTCAGACTGTACATCCCACCTGCAGGGACTATTAATTTCCAGCCTCCAGGTGAACAGACTGAGGCTCAGAGAGTCAGGCCCCTTGTTTCAGGGATGAATGCTGCAGTTAGGCCTAGCAGTTGCAGGCCACAAACCAGATGACTGGTTCTGTGTACTCTGAATTTAGTGGCTATTCATACCACTATGTGCCCTTACCCCACTCAACCCACTCAGCCCTTTTTGGGCTTGTCTTCTCTGCCCCAGGAGGCCTCTCAAGAAGTGCTACATACACATCACAGGGTTGCACCATCGTAGATGATGATGAGATCATTCCCTAGAGCCCTTTTGATTTTCTTACCATGTGTATACCAAACTCTCATTGACCCCATCGCCGTTAAATCCTGGATACCTGTGAAGCATATTCTGCAATAGGATACTGGAAAATTATGTTTTTAAACATCTTTCAAATAGTATCTCAATAGTAATCTGGAAAGATGTGCAGGTCTGGACAAGGATTCAAGGTGTCTAGTGAATCATGGAGATCCAAATTCAGCTGACTTAAAAAACATGAGAGTAGGCAGTGGTTTGTTTAATGACGCCATAATTTAGGAGAAATGATGATGATTGCCTGCTAAAAATTGTCATTCCTCAAATTTTATAATAGTGTCCTTTAGGATGCTGGCAAATCCATTAAGGAGCCCTCTCAGGGGATGTCCCAGCTCTGGCATTTGGGATTTTGGTAAGCATGATGCCACAGGAAAGTGGAAGATAATACAGATACAGATGTATTTAAAGTACTTTTGCATGTATAAAAATGTTCTTCTTTTGGCTACAATTCCTGATCTTGGTTAATAAATTACATCAAAATGACCTGAAGTTAAAAAAAGGGAAAAAATCTGAGCAAATAGTGCCCCTGGTATTGTAAAGCTTTGAATGTTTTCACACCCCATTAATTTATTACTTCTCTTTCTTCATCTTTAAATTTCTTTTTTTTTTTTTTTTCAAAAATTCTGACTCCCCGCTGCTGCAGTGATTTTCATCTTGTTGTTAATTTTCCCTGCTCCATATGGAGCTCCAGACATTTCACCTGGAGGCTGTACTAGATTTTGCTGTAGTGATCGTACTTCCGGAGGCCAAAACTGTCATTTAGGGTTCCTGGTGCATCTGTCTGCGCCAGGCTTTTCACTGGCATGGGAGAGTGTGAATAACAAATTGGATGCACCTGAGATTCAGATGATTAGTGTGTTTTGTGAATCTCCACGACTTGTAAGCAGATAGCTCTGGGGGTGGTGGGAGGGCCAAACAGCGACTGTGGGTGAATCTGTACTCACACCTTACATTTGGGGTTTCGCAAGGGAAGTGCAAACATCCTAGGCAGCCTGAGTGCAGAGAGAGTAACAAATATTTCATCCTGCCTTGTCATTGATTAGAAAAGAGCCTTTAATTTCATTTCACCCCATGTTGTGATTAATTTGCATTCTTTGTCAGAAGTTAATGGAGTTTTTTATGGTTCACTCTGAAATCCTTGAAGACATCAGACTTGATCTGATGTTTATACAACCGCCAGCGGAATTTTTTCGTTTGATTGATGGCAAGCTTGATGTTATTCCAAACGG